CGTCGGAGTAGTTTATTTGGGATTTGGAATTTCGGCGGAGGATGGCGAGGGTGTTCGGGGGGGGGGGGGGGGGGGGGGGTAATTACGGGATGGGTGAGAGTGGTGTAGGTCAGAGGGTGTGGGTAATTGTCGGAAAACACTGTGTTTTGTGGGGCTGTGTGATCGAGTGCGTGGTGTGTGGTTGGTGAATATTTCAGGGGTGTGCGAAGGGAGGAGTGTGATGAAGGGGGTTTAGGGATGGAGGTAATACGTGTGGAAATCCGGGGGTTGGATGATTGGGGCTGGGGTTGTGAGTTTTCTGTTGCAGGTGGGAGACAGAGAATGGGCAATGTGTTGGGCACAGTTGGGATTGGGAGTGAAGCTGGATGTTGTGGGTTGACTTGAGGTTGTCTGGGGCGGGGGAGGGGGAGAGGGTGGACTTGGGATTGGGACAGTGTAGTTGTATGGATTTTGGGGAGAAATGAAGTTTTGGGGGTGTCTGGGAGAGATTGTGATGGAAGGGCGGGTCGAGTGAGAGGGAGAGTGAGGGTAAATTAGTAGGGGGAGTGAGCGATGTAACTCCTCTAATATTCCAGTATATTGTTACGTCGGGTGTTTCTCACGTCTCCGATAGTATTGAAGTCGGATAGTTACCTTGATTGCTCCTCCTTTGGCTGTGGTGGATCACTTACTTCCTTGTCTGATACCTTCGCTGCTGCTTGGAAATTGTCTTCCCTTGAACTTTGTCTTTTTCCTCCTCGGAATTGCTGTTTTCGCCTCCTTGTGTTCTCGCCATCACTACCTTTCTCCCAACCTCCGTACCTCCTCCTCCGTTCCCTTTTTCTTCTCTTGGAATTAATGATTCCCTCTTGTCCGAGTCCGCTTTCCCTTCCCTCTTCGTTTTTTCCTCCACCCTTCTCTTCGCCGCTTCTACTGCTCTTTTCTTTCCTCTGCCTCTCCTCCCTGGTGTGCTGTTGGTTGGCTCCCTTTGTTAGGTTCTTGTCCCGGTGTTCTTTCCTGTGCGCCTTGAGAGGATAAGGTATGATCTCGCTTGAGTAAAGGAAGCGTCTGTGTCGACTTTCCTGTTTTTGGAAGAGTACAAGATCGATGGAATTTCCCCTGGGTTTCTTCTGCCAACCCCTCGTTCGTGATAACTGTAGATCCTTGTCTACGAGCTAAATTTACGGGTCTGTACTTCCGTTGTTTCCTAAGAAAGGATGGTGGTCTTTGTGACTCTTCTTCTGTATTCCGGGTAAAGCCTGCTCTCAATCCTCTCGCCTCCCTCTTTGTTTTCCCTTTCTCCTGCCGTAATGGAACTTCCAGTGTGTCAGCTTCCTCCTCGTCGGGTAGCGGCTTCCCTTTGGTGGTTTTGTCTTTCCCAATGATGGTGATGGTGTTCTTCTCGGGCGTGGCGCGTCCTTGCACGCGTTCGCGACTTCCCTCTCCAAGAATTTGAATGGTCGGTTTCCAGCTCAGTGGGGACAGACCCCGACAGGGCCGACACCGGGCGCCCGATGGGCGAGGCTACCGTGCTGTGGGTCAGGCACGAAAAAGTTTGGCTTCTGGGTTAGCACTAACCTGGGGCGCTAGCACAAAAAAATGGTTGAGAGAACGGGACGTTGAGAACTACCCTCTTTCCAGCATTTAATATAAGAAGTTTCCTTAAAAACAAAACAAAAGAAAGAGAAAGACTGAAAATGCCAGACAGGACAGAGCCAAAAGCAGAAGTACAAGACTGAAAATGCCAGACAGGACAGAGCCAAAAGCAGAAGTACTTGACCACAAACCATCTGGACAAGCATCTGGACAAGAAGGAGATGTTGAATACATACGTGAGTATTCCCTGTGGCTTTGTCCCATTTGTAACAACAACTGCGCTCACTTTCATGTCCCTCATTCTCCTCGTCGCAGTGAAAACAGTATCCGACGGTGTTGCCGTTGCCAACCTGGAGGATACCATGAAAGGTTGCAAAACCCAAATTCACACCCGAAACACGATTAAAACCCCAGTAAAGAGCATGAAGAAATCATTTTCACAGATCGCAACCGACCGGTTCAGCTCCCCCGATCCAACTGCGCCATTTGAGATCTGTCGAAATCCGCATAAAAACTTTGAACGCGCAGTTTTTTCGGGGGGGTCTTTCCAAGGGGGGAAAGGTATTATCGAGCGAGGTATGGCTTTCAAGTAGAGGGGTCAAGCAAAGAAGCTTATTTATCTGAACCCCACGTGGCCCAACGATTTCAAATAAACACTATAGGGGTTCGAGGCCTTCACATACCCACGACAACCGAGAGGTTCAATGTGATATGGTGATGGGAGATCCTTGCCGGAATTTATAGTCTTGCATAGTATCGTGTCCAACAGCAGAAAGTTATGGGTTCAGGTTTCAGCTGGTGCAGGCAGAGCATTTCTGTTTGTTTTTAGTTTTTTTTTTTTGTTCTGCTTGGGCTTCATCTCCAACAGCACTACCATTCTGACTTCAAGAACCCATACCCATAAATTTTGCCCAGAGCGCAGGGATGTCGAAGAAACATATAAGCTCAGCAAGCTACTGTAAAACATCATGGTGACTCACAGTGGACGAGTGTAGGACATTTAAATAATGCCTGTCCGTGGTCCATTGGACAACAGATTGTTAAAATAAGGACATTGCCGGCACAGTGGCCTATTGCACACCTCATGGTAAACTAGATGACCTGTTGGAGCTTTGCTCGCAAAAACAAATACGATGGGTGATGCATTCATGGCGTAGGCAACTGACCAATGCAATCTCTCTCTCTCTCTCTCTCTCTCTCTCTCTCTCTCTCTCTCTCTCTCTCTCTCTCTCTC